GGGGGGTTTGAGGGGTGTGTGTATATGGATGACCTTTCACCCTTCACCTATGACCATAGACCCTCACCGCAGGAGGAGGGTGAGGGGTGAAATACTCCACAGTCCTAACACAAATTAAGATATTTACTCCCTCTAGGAATCTGCTTTGAAAAGTGATGAGGGGAAAAAGCAAAGGTGCCCGAAAGCTGCGAGGCTGAAAAACTCATGAAGTGCATGAAAACACAGCTGGTCGGAGGAGAAAAGAAAGGGAGAAGAAATCTTGATGCTAAGATAAATACTGAGGCGAAATAAGTGATGTCGTTTTCTCTTTGTTGTTTTTCCAAAGAATGGTCCCAGTTTACAAAAAACTACACTAGTTATTAAGTACTAATATAGTGGTTATTGTTTCATCATTAACAGGCAAGACACAGTAATTTTTTTAATAGATTTGATCACGACAAATAAGGACTAAATGTGCGTTCAGGCAAGACTGGATAAATAGAAGATGTAATTGTGAGATTTGATAAGTGAAGTTGCTGAGTAAAAGCTTTAATCTCAATTATTTCAATGACCAGCAGGAGGTTTACCAATTGGATTCAAGTTCAAGAGTTCAAGAATCTTTATTATCCCCAAGGGGCAATTAGTTTCACAGTCAAGTAGGCACACAAAAACATCCATACTACACAAGACATTGAGATGTTAAAAACTACAGATTTCATCACTGCTCATTGAGACGCCTGATCACTACAGGGATGAACGCGTTTTTCAGTCCGTCAACATCTGGGCTGCAGATAACTGCGTCCAAATGGAAGCAACCTGAACTCACCATGGAGTGGATGATCAGGATCTGCCAGAATCAGCCTGGCCTTGTTTAAATTACCTCACCTTGTGTAGGTCAGTGAGGTTCTGTAGAGCTATGTCAGCAGTTCTGCTGCGCATCCTGACAATCCCCAAGAGTTTGTTCCTGTTTTTGCATGTTAACAATCCAAACCAACAGATGAAAGTGAAAGCTAAAAGAAACTCAATAAAACACGAATAAAATATTCTCATGAAACAACATTAAAACCACGGAGCTTCCGGTAAAAATACAAGACAGGCTCAAGATAATCTATGAGTATTACTTGGGTTTTACCTCGTTAACAGTAGTGTAATGTAAATGACGGCCATGTTTAGAGTGATTATGAAAGAGAATAAAGCAGCATTTGCAATGGATAAGAATATTTTACCAAACAGACTAAATTTAAGACCAGATGCGTATGGCCCATTGTCTTTCATGCTGGAGTTGTAAACTTCCATTATCTTATGCTGTGAAGGGACGGAGTTATGGCCATTTTGGTCTTCTTCTTACTTGTCTTCTTTTGGCTGTTCCCTCTTCAGGGTTCGCCACAAGTCATCCTCCTCCATCTCGCTCTGTTGTCAACCCTTGTAATTGACGTTATGGGCGATCTCGCATCGCAAGATCTCACATGATCTGTTAGTGCCTTAAAATGTGTTGACAACAACTTTCAGGTACGACCACATTTAGCTCAGTATCTGTAAAACTGACGGAGTTAGATCCATTTCTGTGTTGGCTAAGGCGGGTTAGTTGTGGTGGTCATCTTGAATGGGGTTAACTCCAAAAGTTAATCAGTTGTAGATGTACATCCAGTTATGTTCTGAGAGGGTTTTTTTTATTTGCTTACAGATAAATGCACACACAGGCCTTTAGCAACAGGTGAAAATACATCTGCGATTATACACTTGCTTTAAGTAAACCGCTGCACATTTAAGAAGTCATAGGTTAGATAAATGGTAAAGTTTGGTTTAGAGTGCAGTTAGACTCACGGAAATCAGCAAAGACGATTTTGCTGTTAAGTGGACAAGATTTTGGTAGAAAAGTTTCTTTTAATTTCCATTTGTATTCTCTAATCCAAGAAGAACTGACAAACTCACTTTTGGCCGGGGCTTTAGTTGCATATGTGTGGACCACAAGACTACGAGTCCATTGATCAAAACAGAAACCCCAAACTACCGGTAGGTATACTTTTTATTATCGCTTAAATCCAAAGTTGTCCAGCAAAGAGTATTGACAGCCAATGGAACAAAGAGATTTCCTCTCCTTCCATTCATAGGGTCAGCTAGAATTATGCATCAGTTGTTGCTCCTAAAGGCTGAATCAAAGGATTACAAGGGGTCCAGTAATGGTTTATAGAATGAGTTTACGTCAGGGGGTGTTTTAGCTGATCTACAAAACTGCACATTGATCCTAGAGACTAGATGTCCACAAAGCAGTCAGTGTTGTCTCACATCTAACACAATATTTTAGAAAGAAAGACAGGAAAAGATGAAATAAGGTTGAAAGTGTTTTAGCAGGATTTTGACTATGAACATTCACCAGTAAACACCACTTAACCCTTAAAAGGTGAAGTTTGTCAAACTTCTCCTCCTGGTTTAAGGATCATTCTGCTGGGATAACCTGCATCCTGACACTCACGCAAAGGATACTTTGACACTTGCCACTAGAGATGGTGTACACGTCTTTTTGAAAGGAGCCGAACCTTGTGGATCCGTTCAATTTTAAATGGTTAGTGACGTCACTTCGTATGGCCATACATAGAATCGAGAAGAAATAGTGACACACGACGTAAGGGCTGAACCACGTCTTGTCAAATGTACAATACCCCTCTTCACAACAATAGCTGTGCTCCTCCCCATTGCCTGTTCTTCTTTCTCCCACTGGGAAAGCAAAGGAGGAGTGTGTGTGTGTGCGTGTGTGTGTGT